CTAATTACTGACAAAACAAAAGAACTATTTTTAAGACTTATTAAACATAGAATAACTCTAGATCACAATATTTCAATAGGAGAACTTGAATTTTGCAAAATTGAATAACGAAACTTCAGTACAGCTGAATATTTCATCCAGTAAAGTGGAATTTCTCATCTTTAGCAATTTATTCCTTTCATTAAGATTATATTAGTAGCAAAGGTTATACAAAAATATTGAAAATGTTAAACAAAAGTATGCAACTTGCATTTTCCAGTATTAAGTATTTTAAAATATTTTTCATTCAGATGTAATTTGGAATTATCTTAAATTAATATACACTCATCTGTCTTTGTTTTGTTTTTAAGATAAATTAATGAATGTTAATATGTTGTGGTTACAGCACTTAAATGATTAGTTATTAATGCTGGCATTAGTATAAGATTACATTCTTTTTTTTATTGCTAATGGTAAAACAAGTTTTGGACTTGGAGAAATGGGTTAGTTTGGAGATTTTAAGATATGTGGCAAAAAATAAGTATATATCAAATTTTAGAAATAACAAATCTATATGTAAGATAGAAATGCCATTATATCCTATCAAACTCATAAAATATCAATATTTATCTTAATAAAACATTATTGCTAAAATATAAATCAGTTTTATAACTTTGTTGTTTGAATCTTGAAATTGCATCTATAAAGATAATGAAGCTTAAACTTTTTTGTTACTTTGATGTTAAGAATGGCTTTTAAAGTAAAAATAAATTTCCATACAGAATTTACAAATATATTTTATCTAGTTTCTTTAATTTTAAAGCAAATTTGCACTTTATGTAGCAGAAAGTACATAGTTATTGGATTATTTACTTTAGTAGATTACTTATAAGCTTGTTTACATAGGTCATTAAACTTTGAATGTTGTCTATGGATGGTGTATCTTTACACAGTGCTTCACTGTCTGCACCTCACCATGTTTGTCACTTGATATCATATCTTCTGACATGTAGTATTTCAGTGTTTTTTGTTGCCCTGTCAAGATGTACTTTTTGTTTGATTCAGAGCATAGCACTATAAAGAAGTTGAGAGGCTGGCTAATTACATTGGCCTTGAAAGATAATTTTTCTGTCTGATGTTTGTCCTCTCAACTTAAATTATCAGCACCAGGTTAAGGGGAAACAACTCCAAGCTGCTAATGCTGGTCATACATGTACATGAATATGCATATATATATATATATGTGTGTGTGTGTGTGTGTGGTGTGTGAAATAAAAATTATGACGTAAGTATAAAGAAAATTTTCATCATAATGTATAAACACTGTACAATTAAAGTTTGATGACTTTCCATTTCTACTTTTTAGTTTAAAAAATTGTCATTTAATTAAAGGTTCTTTAAACAGATCCATAGATTAATGACCTGTTGAATATTTTTTGTCATAAAAAATAACATTTGCTACAAAAAATTAGCATATGCTTGTATTACAATATTACTAGTGAGTAAAGTATGAGAGTTCTGCCAGAACTGTGGTCAAGTATTCAACGACAAAATATATACTTCAGCAATTGTTTTTACTTAATAGTCACATTAAATGTGGGACCTTTTGACATGTGCACAGAGAGCAAAAAAGTTTGTACTAATCAGAACTCGTATGTAAATAAAGTTAAAACATGAGTTCTTCTTAGTATTGTTATGACATTTTAGGAACAGACCTCTTTATTGAATTTATGTTAACTTGTAGCAAAACATTTAGTCTTTAGATTTCAAAGATTGTTGGTGTTGTGTTAGTCAGTAAGAAAGGTTTGTCATAGAATAGTAAAACATATTGAAAAATCCACATTTTTTCGCTATGTTAATTTTGATATCAGTCTTCTGATAACAGGTAATTTTTGGACCATTAACATCAGGAACCAACTTACAGAAAAATGTAGCCTACATCTTAAAATAAACATTTCTCATCAATTTTTTTTATACAAAAGCTTGAATGAAGTCAAGCTACATTACTTACTAGATAAAATTCAAAAATATATACAATGGAAAGAGCAGCTGAGAAGATTTCTGTGTGAAAATGTACATTTTACTGAATATATTTGACTTTTGTACATCAGCAATTTAATCAAAATAGTCAACCTATTTAAAACCCTAATGAATTTGAATACCTGAATCATGTTTACCCAAGCATTACAAAAATTACTCTTACATTCTGTTATCACAGCTAAGTTGTGATAACAGAATGTAAGAGTAATTTTTGTAATGCTTGGGTATGTTGGAATAAATACACAGGGCTAATAAAGTAATTACTAGTTTAAAGAAGTTTGCTTTAAACTAGTAATTACTTTATTAGCTAATTGTGTATTTATTCCAACATATTTGTAGCTTTCCTATAATATATTAATGCTAAAAATCTTTAAAGATTTTTTATTCTTCTATACTTGTCATCTGGTAAAAAATAAAATGTAAACCTCATCCTATATAAATAATATACTTAATCTCAAGCTCAGAATTTTTAGAAATAAAATAATTTTATTATTTCACCATAACCAAACACAAAACAACTTCAGCCTGATTTAGGCAGTTTTGCCCAAATTTTGCTCTGTCTTTACAGCATTAAGAATTCTATCATAAAACAAATGTTTTTCTTGAGTTTTTAATATCAAAGAACATAACTATACAAGTTTTCTCATAAATTATTATGCTAGATCTTGATCATTCACTGAACCTGTAAAAAACTATTTTGATTCAAAGATACAAACTCCCATTATCAGCCTTATTCTGCATTGTTGTATTACTAGCAAAGCTTTGAGGATCTAGCTTTACAAATTGATTGATTTTAAGATATTCAATAATTCATTGACTGGTTTATGAACCAATTACCTAAACAAGTCACACAATTGTCATCAGAATAGGAATGAAATGTAGCTTGGAATCAATAAGCATATAATTGTAAATTACCAGTAATACCATACTACTCAGAAGACATTTGTACTCCTTTAGTTCAGTTCACCATCTTAATTTTTGTATTCCTTATCCATAAGGAATTAGATTTGGCAAGTACGTGTAATGTGGAATGTAGAAGTAAATAATTCAGTATCTCATTGTTATCGATGCTTTGGCCTTGAATCAGAATATGTATGGATAATTTAACTTTTTTTTCAAATATTTGTGCCATTTGTTGGTAATGAAAAAAAACTCACTACTAGGTGAAGTTTCTTGGTGTTGTTTTCAAACATGTACAACTGTTTAATAGGAGTATGTTCTGATTCTTTAAAAAAATATTGTTGTGACCAAAACTTAAGAAGATAAATAAAACTTTTCTTAATATCATTAATTGAAAAAGCTTCTATGAATATGACTTTATGAAAATAATGTTGTTCTATAGAAATTATAAAACAAAATCTTAAATATATTTAGTGGCTAAGACAGAAAAGGGAAGATCAGAAGGATGGTGAACATTTAAATGTACTGAAATGCTATTTTTGTGTTTTATCTTGTTATCTGAGTAGTATAGTTCAATAATTTATCACTAAATAACTGTTAAGAAAGTGAAACTTTTTGCGGTATACTGTTTCTTTGTTTTACAGATCTACTCATTTTAGTCTACTTTGATTAATTCTTGGCTGTATCTCAAAAACAGCACATTGTAGTAATTAATCAATACATAATCAACTATATTGGTGGTCCTGACAACCTTCACCATTAACTTTATTGCTCAAATACTGAGAGCACCAAGAGTGTATGTTTTAAGTAAGTTATTGCTCTACTTTCATAACTATCCTATGGAAATTGCCAATACTGGCTTTTAGACAGAACACATTGGAAAAAGCCGTAATAAGTCAGTTCCGTCCTTAATCATATATTTGATGCAGCAGTGAGATAATGATGGAATGATAACTATAATGTGTATGTCTCATTTTATGATATCAAACAGTTTAAACATTAGAAGCTTCCTTCCTTTATATTGAGTCATACTTTTTTTTCTTCACATGATGTTTTCTGTGACATAAACTCATGTTCAACTACCTGTGTACAGTTTTGGAAAATTCTTGGTAAGGTGAATTTTTCCAAATCAGTTTCATTCTTAGGAACTTGTAGGATTTAAATAGGGTTATGAACATAGATCTCGAACAGGTAACACTAAAGTGATTATACAGTGATTCAGAAGCCCATTGACACCTAAATTATTCAGAAATGTAGAGGTATAGAAAGCAACTTTATGGTTTGGAATGAGGTATTTTGGACACACCTTGTAATAATATCACTGTTATTTAATTAATATAATGTCCATTGAACATTTTATTATTAGGCATCATAAGCCCAAAATTTCAGTAGCAAATGATGTAGACAATAACAAATGTAATATTTTAAACCTAGTTTTACTTAAATTACTCCACAAGAACAACACTTGCATGTATAGCCATAAACACATCTCTGGCATCTAACATTACTTGGTTTAAGAATTTAAATTCAGGTTTATAAACGACAACTGTGTACTGTTTGTAGTTTGAGATTATATATATATATACGTAGTAAAAATTGTTTCATTTATTTATAAATAAATAATAATTGTAATAATGGAAATCCAACATTGTGGGAACTGTGAGTGAAACTAAACTAAATTTCGGAACCAAAATTACTCGGAATCTCATCATTATTCCTTGCAATTTAACGTAAGCAATTAATATATTTTGTATGTTGCATATATTGTATGCGTCGAGTCGTTACAAACTTCTGAACTGGATGTATAAAAGTTTCAGTTTTGAGGGATAAATAAATTTGTCATAGGATTTCGTATACCTGATGATCGGTCAAACGTTTATGTGCTGAATGAAGTTTCAAGCTTAAACAGTTTCACAACTTAAAAGCATTTAGTCTCACATCTGGCTTTAGGCAATATTACAGTTTTTCTTTGGTGACTCGGTCGAAGAGGTAAAGATGGCAGCATCACTGTTTAGTTACTTTCTCAAGCGTGACAACCGAAGAACATCTAGATCACGTGACCGGCGAGACTTAAACGTGAGGAATTGCTTGATGCTTGCGCCCGTGCAGCTGCCCGGTCTGTAGTTGCCTTTCATTGCTAAAGTGAAACAGTGGACAACAGTGGGACCAAATTTTCAGTGGAATTGAAGATATAAAGGACTGGAATAATAAATAAAAGCATCTAGTAAAACAGTAGTGAGCCTGGTAAGATTAGTTTCCTATTGAACGACTTTATATTGAAAGTATGGATAATTTAATTTTGTTTTTGTTTTTCAAATTTCTGTGCCATTCGTTGGCAATGAAAAACTCGCAACTAGGTGAGGTTTCTCTGTGTTATTTTCAAATATGTTCAATTGTTTGACAGGAGTATGTTCTGTTTTTTTTAATGGTGTTTCGAATGCTAAAGATTGTGTTTGTGGAATTTTTGATAGTAAGCCCAGGTATTTGTTGCATTAGCTTTGTAAATTATTAATGTATTTAAAAAACATTTATACACCATACATCCCCCAAGTTACAGGGCCACATGCACGGAGAATGACAAGATTCTGTTTTTGTTACTTGTATAGAGCCTTCATAGTCGTACGTAAATATCTAAACAAAAAAAAGCATTTATAAATTTAAACTTTTTTTAGTAACCAGTGATAATTTATCAAAGGTTTTAAACAGTGATTTAATTATCTTACGTACATAATTGTGTGTGTGTGTGTTTTCTTATGCCAATAGAAAAATGTTTATTTTGTATGCGGTATAGTTATTATTATGCTAATGATTCCAATCAGTTCCGTCAATTATATAATAATTGTAAAAATGCCTACGATTAAGTCTACTTAAAAGACATAACGTTTTGAGTAAGAAAGATTAAAAAGAGGTATTATTTTTTTATTATATTTTAGTATGCAGTCTTGCCATATTTTGATTTTCAGTGGTCATGATATGCTTATTGGAAGTTAACATCATATCAATACACCTTAGTATTGTGTTCATTGGAGTGAATAAGAAAAAAAAGTTAAACGAAATTTATTGTTAAAAATTATTTCTTGTGTGATTAAAATTGTCTTGTATGCGTTTCTAAATCGCGAGAAATTTGAATCAGTTTCAACTGAAATTCATAAAAAATAGTTGTTTCTGAACTATTTCAGTTCAAGCGTGTGAACTGATTTTTCTAAAAATATAACATCCAGATAAGAAGGACCAACTTAATCTTCAAGGTTGTCCCTTCACACCCACTCTTGAGAAAGGGTAAAATCTTGAACTCGTCTTTTGTTTTTCAGGAAATTATTGATTCATGTTTTGTAAACTGTCAGTCTTCACTACAGTCAACGGCAGCTCATTTCATAAGTCAGTCAACCTATTAGTGAAATAAAACGGTATTAGTTGGTTTGTTTGTTTGTTTTTGAATTTC